GGGAGCTTTATGATAACCACAAGCTCCAGCTGTCCTGGTGATCTGTTCAGCTGGTTCATGCACCAGCTGAAACCAAAACTGCTACACTGAACTCAGGTGGTGTGTGAGGACTGCTCCCTGTTACTCACACCCATGTTACTGTACCATTGCTCACCTCTATCTCCTCTTTTACTGTACCATGGTAATAAAATCCATCTTGTTCCCTTCTCACCAGCACAGGCACCTTGCTGTCTATGCACACAGATCCCCCCAGTCTCTCCCATGCCAGGTGGGGGGAGTGGAGGCAGTGGCTAATCCATTGGCACCTTGAAGAAAAGAAAATGGGTCAGCAGAGAGAAATAGCTTCTGTAGGTCATGAAAAAAAACAACAAACCTTTTAAGATTTCAGAACTGGAACGCCCCATCTCATTTTCTACCACTCCCACAGGCCAAAGAATGTGGGAAAAAACAGAAAACTTGCCTGTGCGGGGACAGTTACTTGTTCTTGGGAAAAACATATCAGTGTCTGCTTTTACCCAGATTTCTTTGGTTTTAGGTTTAGAGGAAGCAGTCTGCTGGAATCCTGGGCCAGGAATACCTGCACTATCCCTTTGCTGTTTACATGGCAAGACAATGCAACCCTTCCCCAGCACAGAGCACAGCGTAGGCGTGCTTGAGAATGCTGTAGCTGATGGTTTACACTGAAGCATTCGGGGAACAGCAAAGCAGAGAAGTAAACAACCAAGCTGCTGGTTGATGACAGGTTCAAGTTCAAAACTTGAAAAATAATCTTCTGTCACAAAGCATTAGAAACATTTCACAGAAGACAGCTGCTAATGCAAGATGCTTTTATTTATCCAAATAATATTATAGGAATGTTTCTTTGATAGGAGGCTTACTCAGGCTTTGCTTTTCATAATCTCCAAGGTAGCAAATTACTTCAGTTAACACCATCTAAAAAACTGCCAGTGCAGGGGTGGAAAAGACCAAATGATGTTCAAACTGCTAATTTATTAATCTGACACACCAGCCTGGTTTATACTACTAGATATCATGGAAAAAAACAAATGACAGACTCAAACAGGAATTGATCTTACCTCTGGGGAGTGAGGGGCTCAGTGATCCAGGCAGGATACACTACAAAAGAGCTCCTGCAGGTGGGGTTAATGGCAGGTACAATGCTGGAACACGAGAACTTGTCCAGAGCTGGCCTCACACTGCAATACCTGTGACTCGTAGGCAGGAACCCTTCCAAATGAGCCATTCTTGCAAAAGCAGATACCTGCAGGACTCAGTCGTGATCTGTTGGTAGAAAAGAGACAAAGTACTGGCATTTCTAACACAAAGAAATGCTTCCCAGCGTACCTAAGAACTCAGTACTTTTGATTAGTTGTTTATTTTTATTTAAAAACACCGAATTCAGAATATTCAGACTGGCATTTGGCCAGATGAACCCATATCACTGCCTTCAGTGATCTTCAGTCACCCAAATCCCGACCTGAAAGAGGGACAGAAACACCCAGGGAAATGACAAATGTTATTAAAATCTCCAGAAAAAGAATAATTTTCACTTCCCTCCAAAGTTTGTTTCCCTCTGTAAAATCCAGCTCTCTTTTCTTATACCTATACTCTCCTTTAAAGCTTTCTTGTACACAGTGCCAGCCAAACCTTCGCTGTTTTACAAGCTGAGACAGAAATTACAGCTGAAGTTGACAAGCTGAGTAAACGTGACAGTTTTTGAACGTGATGTTAGATTACCATTGCCTGTTGTTTATTTATAGTGATGTATTAAGAGGAAATATTTTGATCTTTCAGCTGTCCTGTCATGTTTTATAACAGCAGGATTATGGCTTGCAATGAGAAAGAATGAGATGCTCAGATGTGACAAGTGATAACTATTCAGAGGCTGTCACAGTAAGATCAACGATGTGATGCTATCTCTGGTAATTTAAAAAGATGTAGTAGACAAGCTTCCATTCATTTTCCTTTTTTTTTTTTTTTTAACATTGCTTAGAAACATTTAGCATGCTTAGGGTAAAATTTGCATGGAAATTCAACAACATAAAATTTAAGTGCTTTATTTTACAAAATGCAGTTTAAGCACTCCTGTTTAGATATTTTGATAAACTCCAGCTTAGATATTTTGTCTCTTATCTAAGAAATATCATCTGGAAGTCTTTTTTGTGGAGACTCCCAGATATACATAATTTCAGAAAACTAGCAGAGCAACCCAGCAAGAAGAGTGGGTTAACTGCTGCAGAATGCATCTTTAAGTCAGCAAATCAACACAATATATCCAATTGTTTCGTAACTATACAGACCCCCTCTTTATAAAACCAAAACAGGACAGAATCAGTAATACTTTGCAAAGAAATGCCACTATCATTTCTACCATTCAGCACTGTTACTGCTGAGGGCAGGGACTCCTATTTCTGTACAAAACAGGTCACTGACAAAGGCAACTACACTATATTCTGAGATTTTATTTCTGGATAACTCCAAATAGTTTGACACAGCAGAGTTTCAAACTTACCAGCTATTGGTACCAGTGCATCTGGTCAGTTTGGATTTAGTCTGAGTGCAGAAATCTTGCCCTTTTGCCCGTTGGACACAGGAGGCCTTTTGCTGCCAGTGTTTCCTGGTTGCTATGGAGGTTGCCATAGTTGTTACTTCCAGGATTGGACATCCTGACCTTACTACTTAAAAACCAGTGGAACAGGACTACTGAGAGGACCATTTGTCTGCCACACATTCGCTCAGTGTTCGTGTGGATTTAGGTACTGCACTGAAAGACTGCAGGGGCAGAGAAAGGATTATAAGAGAGCTCAGTGTCCTCTAGGCCTACTCTCGCAGGATAAAAACAGCATCAAAGCCACAATTCAGATTTAAGGGGGAAAAAAAGCCCGCCACCACAGGGCATGACAAGTAAATTGCTTTGAAATATGAAAAGAAAGGTTGAAGCTGAGGTAAACCAAAGTCAAATCGCTTTACAACTTTCTCCTTTTGCACTAAGGGGGAAGGATTACAAATTCTACCCCTTTCCCACAACATGTCTATCAAAAACATGACAGAATATAAAGCAGAAATTCACCTGTTAACCTCTGCTGTGATCCCTAATCTTCTTTTCTTCCTTAAAACAGAGTTAACAACTGGGGTTTGATTTGTCGTTTGTTTGGTTTTGTGATTGTGGGTTTCTTTGGAGAGTGTGTGTTTGGAATGCTCAATTGCCTTTTGTAGGCATTTTCCAATTCACTGCTATAAAAACAGCGTAACGGGGGGATGACTGCAATTAGAGACAAGGATACATCACTTAAGAAGTCTGTAACCATTCTTTTGTGCATTCTGCTGTGCGTGCTACATGCTCTCGTGCTGTCAGCAGAATTGCTCAATATCAATCATACGATCCCCTTACGCAGAGCAAATGTTAAGAACACTTTTACCAGTTGTGAGCTAAACTCTTCATCATCTTCATACAAATCTATTCTACAACACTTGACTGAAACCATCACTAGTACAGAGGAACAGACTGGGAGGCTGGGGAAGACCACCCCAGACCTCAACCATTATCAGTGAAAGTCCCAAAAAATTTCTGTTGCAGGATTGTTTTTTCCCCCATAGCCAAGACCTTCCCAGCCTTCTTTATACAGCGTATCGGGTGAGCAGTTCCAGTAATTTTTAAGGGCAGTGACATCCGAATAAAAATCCAATTTTCAACCAAAATTAGGCTAAGTCAATAGTTTTCAGTGTGATTAAAATATTCATTAATAAGAAAACAATGAAACAGCACATGCAAAACTTAATGATCTTCCTATGTTCAGTAACTGTGCTGCAGAAAGCTGCTACCCTACTCTATTTCTCCCCTTTAAACTAAGTTATTCTTTCTGTTGGCATCTAATAACACTCCTTGGAACCTTTAAAAGGGTCTTTTAAGAGAAGCATTGGCAATCATGAATCTTTTAATAAAGTGTATGTGAGAGTAAATCAGTAACATTACAAAAAATGAGAAGAATCTCAGTCCCATCAGTAGAAAGATTTTATTTTAAAGCATGCAGATTGTGATGATACATACAGTTACTTCACACGTATAGGTGCTACATTTTTAGCTTGGTGACAAATTTAGAAACGCTTCCTGATTTTCATGAATTAACTTAGGTCATTCAGCTGAGATTTTCCCAGTGGTCTTTTTCGTATCTAAGTTTAGTTACTATCTGCAAAACTAAAGCTCCTGTGTGGGCTGACACTGACGTGTGCTCCGAGCTGCTCCCAAGATGTGCCAGGAAGACTCACGTCATTAATGGAGTGGCTACTACGCTCCCAGACACGGTACCTTTTGCTTGGTTTGGAACACTTTAGATCGCCTGCAAAAACTGGTTCTGTTTGTTAACTGCTTTTGGAGCTTGGCTTGGCTCCATGACGTTTTTTCCTGCCACCACAGAATCACTGTACAGAACAGACTGCAGGTACCTAATGTATTTTATTGCAGCACGGAGTGTCTCTACCTTGCTGAGCCGTTTCTCCAAGTATTCCTTTGGCAGGTGATGCCTCAGCTTAGCATAGCCTTCATTGACACACTTAACCCGCTGCCTTTCCCTCTCATTCCTCTTCCTGATGAAAGCTGGCCCGTAGGAATACTCACTTCTGTGGAAATTGGAATGGGGCATTTGGTAGGGAAAGGTACAGGGCTCACTGTAGAAGTTCTCCGTGATGAGATGCTCAGACATGAAAGGAAGGAATGACAAATCCTCACAGCAAGTGACCTGGTTTGGTGTTTCTGGGTGCACATGGAATGTGACCAGTGGGTCGGCACAGAAAGGCCGGGCCAGTTGTATGCGCTGGGTCTCGGTACAGATGAGGTTACAGTAGCTTTTGCCATCCATCAGGTTCTGCATTTAACCTGTAAACACACAGTTACATAATAGTTTAAACCACTCTTACTGAATAGTGATAAAAACACCTCATGCAGACCTACCAACACTTGGCCTCACTGGCATTTTCCAGAAGAGATTTTGAATGCATTTGTGACATTTCAGACAGGTGTTAGAAGATCATTAGATAGAGCAAACAATTTGCCGTTTAAAAAAACAGAAAGTGTAAGTCAACAACACTGATTAAAATAATTCACAACAGGAAAGAGCAAGCAGCCTCCTTTCACCTCAGATTTAGAAATTAAGAGAATCTATGTACTCCACATGAGTCTAGCTTGCTCCAAATCCACCAAAACTTACATGTCTGTAGACAATAAACAAAGCAGGCCAACATCTGAGACATTCTCTCCACCCCTTCTCCTCCTGAAAAAAATTAAATCTACAATTGCAGTAAAAGACTCCCTATTCATAACAAAAAGCCTTCAAAGACAAATCATTTTTTCTCTCTGTTCACTTGATGTCTCATTCACCATACTATCTTAAATAGATGGAAAGCTTCTGCTATCCCAATCTTAGTTTCATGTCTGTCAGGCACTACATCCACTCAACATAAAAAAGTTTAAAAGAAGTTTAGAGAATTTAGAAAGAAGAGAGAATTTCTGCTAAGCCTAACATCTCCTTGGGTCCTCATGCTCCTCCTGCACTCACCTGCAGATTAAACACAGATATGAAATACTAAATACAATCCTATTGATAGAGGACTAAATAAATAAAAATAATCAATATTAAAGGAAAAAATATATGTCTTAGTAATACTAAGAAAGGACTGCAGACAGTTGTTGGGGCACTGCTCTGACTCAGACTGGCCTACTAAAACCCCATATCCTCTCTTCAGAGCAGCATTACAGCAGGTGTAACTGTTTAAATCACCCTTACAGATTTATTACAAAGATAATCTTGCAATGGTTTATAGGAAGCTACATTATAGTGTCTTCTCAATATCATTATTCAAACAGCTAAATATCAGCATAGGTGCTGATAATGTAATGACTGTCACCTAATAGCTACTTAAAATACACTTGAAATTACTAGTTAATTTTTAAAGAATTACTGTGAGCCATCCTTACAGCTTGAAGGCAATACTTGCCTACACAGAATTTATCCAAAAATGTTCTTACTCACCATCCACTTGCACATCTGTACATTGCTGTCTAAAGCACTTAAGTTATATTACATCCTCTAAAATGGAATCCACACCTGAACATTCAGCTAGGTTACTAGACACATCTAGATTCCATACTCACAAAAATCTTGCAAAGCTTCAAATGCTCCAATCACAGCTCCAATAACATAAATGGGATCCCCTGAATCCTTCACAAGGATAGGGGGATATTGTAATGTTTTCTAATGACTTCATACCTGCCATGTTTATACAGAGAGAATTTTTTACTCAGTGTGGACCTGTTCTCTCAACATATTCTATGAAAATGCCTCTGAACTCAGTGTTGTCTCTTTTTCTAGTGCACATAGATTTCACGACAGAAATCCAATGAATTAAGAATTCACTTATAGTGTGCTGTTAGACATGAGTGAAAGTCACATGCATCTTAAACAGGTACTTCTGTAGGTAGGCTAAAAGCATGAACACACATCCATTTCACATTAGTATGCATGCAAAAAAAACAAGAGGTGAATATACACTCATCGTAAAATCAAAACAATAGCCAGTCATCTTTCCTTTTGCTACTTACACAGGTTATTGTCTAAAAACTTTCTACTGCTAACAACTTAAAAACACTGTCTGAGGAAAAAGCCTGCTACATAGCAAAACAAAAACTTACAGCAAAACATCATTACAGAGCAAGAAATCAAAACCAACACAACTCCTCAAGAAGAGATACTTGCAGGATTTGTTGCTTAGTACTGACACTTCTGCTGGACAACAGTGTTACATAAAACAGTTACCTGCTGCCTTACTACCAGCACAAAGTGCAAAATTCAAGTGTTAGGAACGTTTTCCTCTTAGACCAGAGACTCACCAATCTTCAGATGGAAGTAAAATCCAAGGAAACAAGACGTGCTATTTTAAGAGTGATGAATACCTGAAAATATCTGAATGATATTTAAAAAAAAAAGAAATTAATGTTCCATTTTTCTTACACCTTATTAAATAAGAGATCATATTAAACAGGATTCATTAAAGAGCTATAGAAGCATTGTTAGTGAATGGCTGGCAGGAGTGATTTTCAAAAACACTGATATTCAGTGAAGATCTTGGCTAGATACAGCAACATGCAAGTCTCTTACCTGAATTGTGTCGCTTGTTCCGCTGAGTCAATGACTGCTGCAATTTATAGTCAACTGACAACATGCAAAGTAGCTTACAGTTAGATCTGCTCATTTCTGGTTGGGCTCTTCCACCCACACCACAGCTATGATGGCAACAAAACTTGGCACCAAGGGCTAGAAATTTTGAAACTGTTATTGAATACATCCAGATTACCTGAAAAAGTATTAGGAGCCTACTTTGTTTACTTCCTGTATACATTCTGTTACAGTTTACTAAAGCACTATTTTCATTTATTGGCATGTCATACTTCAATGTCTAAATATAACAATCATCTAGAATTTAGGTAAATATTCACCATCAAGGCATAAGCAAATTTTCAACACAGAAAAACAGCATTCATTAAGAGGAAACTTGTGATGGATTTGTCTCCATTAGAGGTGAGGATACTAGGTAGCTTAATACCCTCAAATTTAATCTGCATTCTATTGTAATTTTGGGAAATTCCCTTATTGTTAGGAAGTATAACACCATACAAAAGGTGAATATATGTAAGAAGAGGTAAGATTTGAATACAGAGAGCAATCAGCAGCAAGACAAACATTTTGAAGTTTTGCTTAAATTCAGAAATATAGTATGGAGCAATCAGTCTGTATAATCCCATGTATACAGGTATACAGATGCTACTTATATCAGTATATAGCTGTCCAATTGTACAAGTGCAAAGAAATAGGACACCCATCCTCTAAATTCCCACATTTTACAGGATTACCTCAATACTTTAGATTATTCCCACTATTTGGCCCTTCTATCAGTATAACCACACAAAAAAAATCCCAAACCAAAACCAGTTTAGCTTAAAAATTTCAGAAGATACTGTAAGATTAAGAAGCACTTGATCTACTACCAAGAGAGCTACATACACTCAGTCTTGTCTTCTTGAGACTGCCAGCCATCAAGGAAACATTCTGCTCCTGCTGCTGCCCTTGTGTGAAGCCACAATGCTGTATTTGGCATCCTCCATCCCACACCAGCTTCAGGCCTCGTCAAAAAGGCAGCCAAGAGGTAGAACATCTGCCAGGACTGGTAGAGAGGCACATGCTCAACAAACAAATTGCACTACTTTTCCTTAGGGGACCCTAAGTACATGACTGTCATAACAATATCCACTGATCAACATTCCACTCATCGGGGCGGGATGTCGAACACACGATCTCGAACCCAAGCTTGTTTTTATATTTTTTTCCCGTCAGTCTTCGTGGGGTTTGTTTGTTTGTTTGTTTGTTTTTAAATTTAAAGGAAGAATCCTGTGCATCCACCAATTAGCCATCTGGTACAAATCCCTCCAGATGAACTCAGTTTTGGAAGATTACAGGACTGACATGAGAATGAAGTGCTGTATCTGCAAAAGAGCTCGGTCAATACAGATGTTATGGGACAACGGTGTCTCCACCCCTGATGTGGCAGAGGTGTACAGGTATAGTCTGTCCCCCAGGCTGTGAACTAAGCAAGCCAAAAGTGCACCCAGAAACATATCGTACTCTTCCATACCACTTCCTTCCACACTGGAATTGAAAATGGTAACAGACAATAATGTACCTACATATGCACAGCTCCATTTGAGTCAGGGATTAAAATTTTTTTTCAATTAACAATTCAATAAGCCTTTCTTTATCTAACCACTCAGTAAGTCCATATTTCTACTCTGAAGCATTTTTAGAGGAGTACTTTTATAGTTGGGATTTGCGTGCAGCATAAAGAGGGAGAAAAATGATGACAAACTGATAATGCAGATCCATTTTTCAAAAATCAGTTTTATCTTTAATTGTTACATTCCAAAGGGGATATATGAAAGTTAGTCATCTAGCAACTGTATACCTCTTAAGAGAGATGAGTACAGAGTCACAGATAAAAAAATACACCTAACTCCCAAGATGACAGGTGCTAGAGAAAGTATGTGCCTTACACCATCAATCCAGACAAATGCAGGAAGATCTTTATAATAAATATTTCATCATATACTAACTCCTGAGACTTTACCCATGAAAAGAAAGGGAAAAATTTTTTTTAGAGCTATCATACACCTACAATATATTAAGCTATTAAAGCAAAATAGAACAAAATAACACTGTCTTGATGTGCACTGCATTTGAATTTATCTACATCACAGTACTTGAAATATGCAGCTCAAAGAGTCAGTGTCCATTATGTTTTACCTTAAATCTGCAGACATCACTTGCCATACAAGCATCTTGAAGGTACGAGTGCAAGAAACCAAATGATGAATACAGCCAAGCAGGATTTCATTCTCTGATATGAAAACTACACTGCAAGACTTCGATTTCCAGTACCTAGCATTAATCAGCAGAAAATCCAAGTATATTTACAAAAGGTCTTTACATAAAGTGATTAGTGAGTTGTAAGTAATTACTGTGTTCCCAGGTACTTTTTAACCACATAAATAGTAAAGAGAAATATATAGTTAAAAACCACCATAAAGTCACAACTGTAAATAATGTACCACAGTGGCAACCCAAGGTCTTAGGGCTTGTTTTCTTTTCAGTTTCGTTAGTAAAAGCCATTTGAAAATGTAAAGATTTTAGCTTTTGGTTACCTAATCTTTTAAAACTGCTCCCACTCCAGTACACTCCTTCAAAGTTCAAACACTTTTTCTCTTTATTTCTTTTAAATCAACAACAAATCATTCAAGAAAACTCTTCTGAATTGGCAGGATCAGGAAGACATACGTCAGCTCTTTCCATTAGTCCACTTTACTTCCCTGGAGTTGTTTTACTGAGACACAATTAACTCAGCACAACGTGATGGTCGAAGACAGATTTGCGCTGCTCTTGGACCTGCAGCTTCCAGCGCTGCTGGGCGTACTCCACTTTGTTCAGCACGTTGGCGCGGCTCCGAGAACGAGCCAGCACATCGTGTGCGTTTGCAAAAGGCTGGTGATCCTGGAATGGCAAAAGTCAATAGTTAGGCCCCAGCGATTCCACAGAGCAACCACATTAGTCTTTTGTGTCCTTTTGTTCCAAAGGTTTGGTTTGGTTTTGTCTTTTTTGGTTGGTTTTTTTTTTTTCAGGATAAACAAGCTGTTTCAACAAGCAGGTCAGTAACAATGACTAAGTAAGTTTTTTAATAGTTAGAACTGTACTTCAATTTCTCATTCGCAGTAACTTCCACAGGTTTCCCAAATAGACCACACTTCATTGTACTGTCAATCAATCATCTGCTGCCCAGAGATGCCATGGTGAGCTGCAGGTTTAGAACCACGGTCTTGCATCCATTAGAAGCTGGAGGGACAGACCCAGGCACTGGGAGCCTCCCAGTCATGAATGCACTTCACTTTAAAAATGAATCTCCGAGTCAGTTCTCTGCCAGCTCTTGGGCATTTACTGCCAGGCAGTTCAGGATGTTCACACAGAGTTTCTATATAAAACCAACACACTCTGATGTTTACCAAACTAAGCCTATTGTACTGAGCTGTCTAAAAGCACAGTGTCAATACAGCTGTTTAAGTGACAGAACTCAACAAAAACCCAGTGCTTGTTTTATATTTACTCTGTCTGTTTTCTAGCAGTACCTGCAAAGCTCTATTTTCCTTCTAGGAAATATAACAAAGTTATAAATAGTAAATGTTGGAACTGAGCTTTGATAGAACTCCTTCAGGTCTACCAAACTGTTTTGGACAAAGTCCAAAGACATGCTGCTAAGGCTATGTCAGAAAGCATCATATATACAATGCATAATGAAAAATAATGTAATTATGTCCTGTATTAAATAACTGTCTTTTTGAATGCCTACATGTCATAGTCCTTTTTTTTTCCAGAACACTTTTGAAGACATTCATTTTAATGGCTACTTTATTTGTGACATGACTGTGTAGAGCAGCTCAGTGCTAGTTCTTAGTTGTACAGAGATTATCATCAACAATACCTATTGAAGTGATTGCTACAAGTTCCAAAGCCACACATGAGCCTCAAATAAATATGCTCAGAGAACAAGAGACAATCCATGACCAGAAGAGCTGTAATCTCACCACAAAAAGTTGTAGAGTTGAATATACCTAGAACAGGCATTTAACAGGTGACAGATCCCTTCATTCACAGGGAAACAAAACCACAATAACACCACATTTCTACCATAGAACAGGTGGTGGGAGAACGCAGGACAAGCTGGATGGTACTGGCCTTCCTGATAAACAAGAATCTCAGCTCAAAGGCTAGCTACTCTCAATTTCTCTGTAGACAACAAAGGGAAAAAAGAATTTAATAAGAAAGAGGACTAAGGAAGTGGCTTACATTCATCAGTTACCACTGTTATCAACAGGCAACGAGAAAGAGTAAACATACTCGCTTGAAATTCAGCCACAAAAATCAGTGTGCATGGTATTTCCAAAGTGTGACAAGAATACTCAAGAACTTGCAAGAGGGAAGGCAAGGATGAGTATGAGGGACCTTAAATTATGTTACATTCACTGTAACAGGTGGAGGATTAACAGGAAAGGAGCAACTTGAAGTAAGCAAGGACATGAGGTGTCATTTGTTCCAAGCATCACTGCAGATAAAAGCACTAGTGACTCCACAGGCACAGGTCAGAGAACAGCTCAGGCCAACACAGCATTGGTTAAGATGGACCCAGATTTTAAGGTAAATTCATTCTGCAGTTCACGTGAACTGTGCCACGGGACTTATTTCACTTCTTCCACCTACAGCCAAAAGATTTTAACCCAGATTTGGTGGTATTAATATAATTCATTTAAGGTACAAATTTGTCTGAGCCATAGCATACAGCATAAGTAAAAAAAAAATAAAAAACCCCTCAACCCAAAATTCCCTAAGTAACAACGTAGGGAAAATCTTATGGTGTCAATACAAAGATAGTTGCAACATATCTATATGTAATCCACAAGGAATTTCAGAAACAGTGGGACATACTCATAAGGCATCTTCACTTTAAAAGGTGTTGCTGTTTGGCAAGAGGGTTATTAAGTATTCAAAATTAAGCATTTTCCTAGATAATAGTTTTTATCAGCTGTGTTTTATGTGCCTTGATTTCACAACAAAAATACATGATTGTTACCCAGTGCTGGAGATTAGGAAGGCCAGTAATGACAGGAACTGCATCACTAATGGACTACTCCCCTTTTCTTCCCAGAAAAGGTTGTTCTGGAATATACTGTCACATTTTGATTTCTAGCTGCAATACTAAGAAATTATTTCTGCATCAATCACTACTTTACTTCATTATAGCAATTTCTTCTTGAATTTTTAGCATCAACAAATTCAAACTGGAGCAAAAGAAGATGGAACCACTCCTTTTTGCACAGAGCAATCTGAGCAGTAAGCAATTTGTGTAAATGTGATCACCAGCAAGACTCTGGATCACTAACACTTAAGTTGTACTCCTACATATATGCTTACCTCCATTCCTACAGCTTCTTCTCTGTGAAAATAATCTGTGCTTAGAGCTGGGATAACTGAAGCAGTTCCCCCCTTACTACTTTCTAGCCCAGTGAAAAATGAAAGAATGGCTTCACAGAAGTCACTACACAGCTTTTTTTATGCTCTCCCTTCAGGGAAAGCATTTACACTGCCTGGCAAAAAAAAGCTGCTCATCCCAAATAATTTTCTATCAACTAAACATCCCAATCTTCATGCTCACCAAGTACACAAACACACTGGTGAACTCACCCCAATGTCTTCATCACTTTGTATGAGCTGTGAATGTCCAAGGAGACGTCTCTTCAGTATAGGCTCCACCAGTGTGAGGTACACCATGTACAGAAGAAGTAGGCCCAAAATAGACAGGTATATGATGATTGTTACCTAAATAATGCAAGCACAGTTTACCAGGATTATGACATTCTTCCCACAGTCTCACAACAAGGACCAAAAGAAGAGTACACCCAATGTCTAATCTCTGGTAGCGTCACCAGATGACTTAAAACCCACGAAGAGAGGAAAACCAACAAACTACAACCTGGTATTAATAGGGTTTGGGGCAGATGTATATTAGCTTGAAACAGTTCCTCTTAGTGAGAGCTTGCTAAAAATCTTATGTGATCCCTCTTAAAACAATTCAGTGTTATAAATCTCACCTCAACAAAGACAACTGTTCAGTCTGACCATTAAAGTGGGCTTACTAATTTGGGGCATCACCCAGTGATGTCCATTCTCTAGGACAGATCTGCATTCAGTCACCAAGCAAAATGGGAACACAAAACAAAATACCAAACTTCTAAAATAGCAAAAAAAGTGGTCTGTGTTATCAAAGACCATAAGATACACTGCACAATCTATTCACCCAGTCCAGGGCTCAATGGCTCCAATAGGACAAGAATGTAAAGAACACAGAAAACACCTGTTAGAACAAACATGGACAATCTTGCTCTTTTTATCTTGCCAATGTATAAAGGAAATTTATAGCAAGCAAGTAAGGCAGACAAGTAATGAGAGGTCCCCTAAAATAATCAGAAAAACAAAGCCCAAAGCTTAACAGCATTTAGCCAGGTGTAAAGCCTAATCTCAAATGATCTTCAATAAAGGGTCTCAAAATCGCTTCTTCAGCTATAGTTTGACACTACTATTACCACTCAAGATAAACTGTGAGCAACTACTGTGAAAAAAAGCTCAATCTTAGGCTGCTTTAGAAAAGTTTTCCCTTTGAAAAGAATATTTCTCTAAAA